GATTGAGGTAGCAAATAGGCTTGGTACAAACTTTAAGTGAAAAATCCTATAATCTAGGTGGTAATTACTATTACTTCTCCTTCAGGAGAGAGGAAGTGGGAGAAAAGCATAGAGAAAGGAGATAAGGTTCCTGAGAAAAAAGACACCTACCTTGCTCAGGATGAGACACAGGCAGTAAGTTTTCCAAGTTGTACAGAGGTTCTAATCCTAGAACAGGAGGGAACTCGAGTATTCTCGCAGCTAAGCCCTAACCTATCCCACCATGTCCTCCTTCCAGACCAGGAGCTGGTAGCTCATGCTTGTAATTCTAGCTACTCCAAAGACTGAATCAAAGGATCAGGGTTCACAGCCAACGTGGGCAGGAAAGTCCAGGAGACTCAACAAGTCAATCAACCACTAAAAAAGCTAGAGTGGAGCTATGGCTCAAGTAGCAGAACTCCAGCCTTGAATTTAAAAAAAGACAGTGCCCAGAACTTGAGTTTAAGCCTCAGGACCAGCAAAAAGAAGAAAAAGAAAGCAAAATCTCCCTCTAGCTTCACAGCAGAGGGTGTCTGACGCTTCCATCTCACCCCCCACTGGCAAGGGAGTACTTCTGATTAGAGGAGATCAACTAGGTTGTTTCTCCCTCTCCAAGCAGCAGGACAAAAGCAACAGCACTGATCAAGGTGTCCTAGGAGAGTGAAGAGCTGCAGTGCCACATTCAGCCAGACCCTGCCGGACATCAGTGCAAAGCAGACCAACACCGCCCCGACCTACACACTCCGGAAAACAGCCAGGAGCATGAGTAGCATAGTCCTGGGAAAACTATCCGCTGCCTGTCAGTCATTCAAATCTGTTGTCTTCTCTCCCATCCTCGGCCTTCACTTCTTTTTTCTTTTCTTTTTTTTTTTTTCAGAGCTGAGGACCGAACTCGGGGCCTTGCGCTGAGCAGGCAGGAGCTCTTCCGCTGAGCTAAACCCCCAGCCCCTGCCTTCAAGTCTTGAACAAAGTCCAGCATATTTTTAGAGATAGTTCTGGTCAAGGATGATGAAACTAATGAAAATAAAGAGCTGGACAGCTGTGGCTCATACCTGTAATTCTAGCTACTTAATAGCCTAAGATCTGAAGTTCAAGCTTGAAAGCCAGCCCAAGCAGGAAAAGTCTGAGACTCTTATCTCCAATAAATAACAACAACAACAAAAAAAAAACAGAATTGGAGTTGTGTCTCTACCACTTTAGTAGATTGTCAGTCTTGAGTAAAAAAGCTAAGGGACAGCACTCATGCCCTGAGTTCAACCTCCAGTAGCAGCACCAAAAAAGAAAAAGAGAAAAAAAAAACCGTTAGTCACATACTTGTCGATGATCACCTCCAGTAATCCTAACCAGAATCCCAGACAGCAAATATGAATATAAGCAATGATTCAAGCAGTTTACCCAAAGCCTGCTGTCTGCCAAGCTAGGATCAGGGCAGAAGCTTAGGAAGTTGATTCTGAAGCCCTTCCCTACCAACTGCCCTGCCTTTCCTCAAAGGAAGATGATTTCTGTCTCACAGAAGTTGATTATAAGATACAGCCTGATGCTTTAGTTCTGCAATGCATTCTGCATTTCTCCAGAGTGATCTTCCCAAAATAGAGGTAAAGAAACTTTGTTACACGTTTGGAGAAGCCCAGAAAAAAGTTTTCCAAGTAACAACTGATAGGCTCAATAACTCTTCAGCTGCTTCCCCCACATCCTAGGGTCCAGCACCTCTCATTCACCTGGAGGATAAGGCAAGGACAAGACAAGGTTATGTTTGGGGCCCAGCACCTCTGCCAGCAAGTCCTTCTGACTAAAGTTCCTGGCAAGTGCTGGACTCAAAGCAACTGCTAACACTTCCAAGCTCACAGTTAAAGGGCAGTCAACACCTTTATCTACAGAAGCACTTAGACCTACTTCAAAGTGTCAAGTATAAATATTGCTTAAGCATCTTTAACTTTCCCTAGGGAAGAATAGAACTACTTGGAGCGCACAAATTCCAGTAATCTGTTTTAAAATTAGCCAGAGGCTAAAGTCCCTCAGGGCATAGGATGCCAGTCTCCCAGAGGGAGGATTCAGGAAGCTAGTGGTCTAAGCTACTCACTGTGTAAGAACCATTATGAGTGTAATGCCTAAACAGGTGAAGCACACATGCTCAACTCCACTACACATTCTTTTCCATTTATCTTCTAAGCCCTTATTTAGCTGACACCTGAAGGTAAATTGCCTGAAGGCAAGAGCCCTGCATGGGTGTCCCCATCCCTGCAAAGACCACAGTACTGACTTGGGACAAACTACGGAACCATGACTCAGTGCTCCATGCTTCCTGTAGGCCTCTCTCTCCATCTTGTCTTCAGCCCCTCTGCCTGAACTTCTCTGCAGAGGTCATGCTCTGCAGAGGTCATGGTCTCCCTCTCCTCACACTGGAGTGATAGAACCCAAGCCAAGGGGCAGAGAAGCCAAAAATGGTTCCTGTCTGATCCAGTAATTAATGGAGCTAGGCAGCCAGCCCAAACTCTCAGAACATTTCTCAATCACTGGACTTCAATGCCACTGGCCAAGTTCTACTCCATTTCCCTGGGTGGAGTGGGCCAAGAAAACAGTCAAGTATATCAGTACATCAGAAATCATGGGCTAGCTGCCAAATCTCTGGAGGGTGAAGAAGGCTCATGTCACTGCTCTTATTAGGCCCAATCTAACCAGCCAAAATGGTGCCACTTCTACCACCAGCACCTTGCAAACAGCAAAGGGGCTTCTGCTTGTAGAATTTGACACAAAAGGAAACTAATGTTGAGAGAACATGCATTGGAACAGGGGATGTGGATGAAGTGAGGCGCTGAGTTTACTTAATTCCCGGTATGGGGCATAGAAGGGGAGGAGGTGGGGCAGACAGCCACGTGCTAAGTGGAGGGTTTCCAGAGGTGACTAACATCAATCACACAGACCTGACCTTGAGATGAAAGTGCCAGAGCCAAGCCCAGGGTCCAAATGACACTCTTCAGAGGCGACTGCAACTAACTCCTTCAGGAGTCCTGCAGAACATTCTGTTGTTGGTTGAACAGGATCCTGGGTTTGCAAGGGAGGAGACAAACTCCTGTGTAGCATTCCCTTGGGTCTGATGAAACTATCCCCAAGGACAGAGTAACTCACAGGCTTTTCCTCAGGAGGGAAAACCTGGGAGGACAAATGTGGATGGGAGACTTGTTTCCACTATATTTTACTGCCCCTTTGGGTTTTCAAACCCTGTTCATGTTGGACTGAGGCTACATGTCAGTGGCAGAGTGATTGTCTCAAATACCAAAGCCCAGGGTTCCATCTCCACTATCTACGTTTGTATTATCTAATTAAATACAACTATATTTTAAAAACTCAGTTTGGTAGCTGAGTAGAAGAAGATGTTCTTAGCATCCAAGAGGCCCTGGGTCCAATCAGCATCATCAGGAAAAGTTATCTTCTCTTATATCATTATTTACTTAGCACATGCCAGGCACCAGGAGAGATGTTAAGTCTCAGGGGCTGGTAGTGAAGAATGGAGAAAATTAAATGTCAATCCAGACCCAAGTGCTGTGTCTCATGCCTGGAGTCCTAGCTACTCAGGAGGCTCAGATATCAGGACTAAGGTTTGCAGCTAGGTCAAGCATACAAATCCAAGAGATTCTTATATCTAATTTTGCCAACCTTGGGTGAAAAAGCTAAGGGAGAGCTCCCTGATCCATGCTTAAAGCCTTCACACACACACACATACACACACCAAGTTTACCAAAGGCCAAGTGAGAAATCAGATCCTCCCACACAAGCCTGGGCAGGAAAGTCCTTGAGACTCACCTCCAACTGACCCCTAAAAGCTGGAAGTGGAGCTCTAGCACAAGTAGTTTTATACTCCTCTTGAGCAAAAAAGCTAAGGGACAGAGCAATGGTCCTGAGTTCAAGTCCCAGTACTCATACCCAAATGAATAAAGAAGTCAATCCAGAACAGTGGAAGATGCCAGCAACAAGAGCCCTGTCAGAAGCTACTGGCTTTGTGGGATGGAAACCAGGTCAGGTTTCCTGAAGAAGTACTTTCTGGGCCAAGACTTAAAGGAAGACTAAGACCAATTACCTCCTCCCCACGCGGACAACAGTCAGAGAAGCCTGAGCTTAGTGTGAGGTAGGACACAGAAGCAGGCCTTAGCTGAATAACACTGAAAGCTCATCATGGCCCCTAAGGGGGAAGAATGCATAGCCTGGGGAAAGAGCATGGGAATGCAAAGCTATCTTCTGCCTCCTTTCCTCCCAGGCTCCTCTCCTTTCCCCCAAGCACCAAGGACTCCTCCAGGGGTTGGCTAAGCAAGGGCACTCAGAGCTGACAGCAGTGAAGGGCTTGGAGGAGCACCTGGCACAAAGTGCTTTATCCACCACGTTCCGATTAAAGCCCAGGGGCAGGACAAGCCTTTGCAAACACCTTCCCCGAGAATGCCCCACGTCCCTGGGAGCAAGGCCTCTCTGAACTTGGATTTGCTTCCGGATACAATCTCTCTCACGGTAATGTAGAGTCAGAGACAGGTGAGGTCTGTCTTGTGCCAGCCCCTGCGGAGACCCGGGCAGCCGCTGGTGCCTCCGTTTCCCCCACACCAGAACTGCAGGAAGAAGGCGGGCGCCTGGGTCAAGCGCTCCAGCCTGGCGCTGCGCTGCGCAGGGCGGAGAGGGTTCTCCGGGTGCTGCGCGGAACGTGCGGGAGGCGAGCGGGAGGCGCTGGGCGCGCGGCCGCCCTCGCGCAGACAGGTGCCCGGCACGCGCGCGGCCTCCCGGCGCGGTCCCCGCGGGCTCCCGGGCGCAGCGCCTCCCGGCGCCAGCCTCGGCGCGGCCTCCCGGCGCGCGGTGCCCAGCCTGGCCGACGGCTCTCCGGCCCCGCCTCCGCGCGCGGTGCCCACGCCGTGACGGGGGCGCGCGGCCCCCCTGGCCGCAGCCGGGCTTCCTGGAGGCGGGGCTCGCGCCGGCCGCCCGCCGCCCTCCGGCCGGACACTCACCAGTTCCCCGAGCCCACGATGCACACTTTCAGTGGCGCCTCTGCCATGGCCAAGCCGGTTCGATGCATCCCTGCCCGGGTCGCCCCGGCCCGCGGACGCCTCTACTCGCCCGGCCCAGCTGGAAGCGGCGCACGGAGACCCCACCCTGGACCGCCTCTGGGCCAATGGCCACCGCCACCCCGCCCGGGCGCCCCCGGGCCACAGCTGACAGCCGCGAGGCCCCGCCCCGCCACTCCCAAGAACCCCTGCGCACGCCTGGCCAGGGCCTCTCCCAAACTCCACCCCGTCCCGAGGCATTTCGGGAAGTGTAGTCCACGCCCCGCCCTCGTGCACACCCTAGTCTTTGGGCAGCAGTAGCTATCTCTGCTCTGGGGTTTGAGCTGGCTGCACCCTCAGGGACAGGGGAGGTCCGACCCAGCCCCTGGGGGTCCTCCTGCACGCCTCTCCTCCCCTTGTGCTACAGAAACTGCCACTGCCATTTGGCGCCCTGGGGTCGAGTTTCTAAGTTCAACCCCAAAGTGACTGGGACTTGACAAATCTCCTTGAACACACCTGTCTCTCCGGCCTCTGGCTCACGCACAACTCATAGGCACGCAATTCGGAACTTCCCGGTGAACTTGGATCCTCTGAGGCCTGTGCACGGGAGGGTTGGAGACTAATCTATGTAGAGGCAAATCCGGAAATTGAATGGAGGGCAGGACTTGGCTCATCCTAGTCTTGGCAGGTCTGACTGGCCCTTGTTTGTGTTGGTTTGTGGCTGGTTCTTTTTTTTTTTTTTTTCCTTGTTTTTAATGGTGACCGTAGTGGGGCTTGAACTCAGGGCCTGGACACTGTCCCTGAGCTTCTTTTGCTCAAGTCTAGCACTCTACTGCTTGAGCCCCAGCTCTTGTTCTGAAGGCTTATTATAAGAGTCTCAAGAAAGGCTGGGAATGTGGTTTAGTGGTAGAGTGCTCTCCTAGCATGCATGAAGCCCTGGGTTTGAGTCCTCAGTACCTCATAAACAGAAAAAAACAGAAGTGGTGTTGTGGTTCAAATGGTAGAGCTCTAGGCTTGAGTACAGAGATTTTCAGGGACAGTGCCCAGGCCCTGAGTTCAAGCCCCAGGACTGGCAGAAAAAAAAATTTTTTCCTGTGTAGTCTGGCTTCAAACTGCAATCCTCAGATCTCAACCTCTTGAATAGCTAGATTATAGGCATGAACTACCATGTAAGGCTGTCATTTGTGGCTCTAAGACATGCTTTCCTCTGTCCTCATAAATAAGCACATTATTCATTTTGAGTGCAATGACACTGAACTAGATGCTGTCTGAGAAGGATATGATTGTGGAAAACAGGTTAAACTATTACTGCTCTCACTGGAGCTAGCATGGGGATAGCCTTAGGCCCAGACAACCCAGATCAATTACATCAGAATCCTGAGAGGCAGGACTCAGATGTTAATTTATTTGTGTGTACCAGTATTGGGGCTTGAACTTATGGCTTTATACTACTTAGCTTTATCTTATCCAGGTTGGTATTCTATCACTTGAGCCATACCTCCACTTGGAACATCTTGCTGGTTAATTAGCGGTAAGAACCTTAGGGGCTTTTCTGCCCAAGTTGGCTTTGAACAAGAATCTTATGATCTTTTCTGCCCTGGTTCGCTTTGAACTTCGATCCTCAGATCTCACCCTCCTGAGTAGCTATGTCTATAGGCATGAGTCTCCAACACCCTGCCAGATATTTCTTTCTTTTTTGTTTATTTTTAAAGTTCAAAAAGTGATTGCAAAAACAAACACCTAGCTGGTTGCTGGTCATCCTAGCAACTCAGGAGACAGACATCTGAGGATCAATGTTCACAGCCAGCCCAGGAAAGAAAGTCTATGAGACTCTTATCTCCAATTAACTCCCAGAAAACAGGAAGTAGAGCTATGACTCAAAGTGTTAGAATGTTAGCTTTGAGCAAAAGAGCTTAGCATCCAGGCCCTGAGTTCAAACCCCTTGACCAAACAACAACAACAACAACAAAAAGAAACCCAAAAACCTGTCATCCCAACATTTACTTGGTGTCAAGTTAGAGGCCAACATGAGCTACATAAGGTCATCTTATCTCAAAAGGTGGAGAAGGGATAACAGATAAAGAGCTTTAGAACACTGACTAAAGAAATAAATACTGTAGCACATAGAAAAATTCCAAGCCTATTAGCTTGATGAAAGCAGATTCACTATTAGGTTACTTTTGGACTCTAGGTGAAAGAATTATCTGATGTTTCCTGTACTTAAGTACAGAAATACTTCAGTGAGGGCTGGGAAGGTGGCTCAATGGTAGAGAACTTGCCTTGCATGCATGAGGCCCTGGGTTTGATTCCTCAGCACCACATAAGCAAAAAGAAAAAAGCCGGAAGTGGCGCTGTGGCTCAAGTGGTAGAGCACTAACCTTGAGCTGAAGAGCTGAGGGACAGCGCCCAGGCCCAGAGTTCAGGCCCCACAACCAGACCCAAAAAAAACAAAACAAACAAACAAAAAAGAAATACTTCAATGAGGGCTGGGAAGGTGGCTCAGTAGTAGAGTGCTTACCTGCAAGCATGAGGCCCTGGGTTCAATTCCTCAGCACCACATAATCAGAAAAAGCCAGAAGTGGCGCTATGGCTGGAGTGGTAGAGCACTAGCCTTGAGCTGAAGAGCTGAGGAACAGCGCCCAGGCCCAGAGTTCAAGCCCCACAACCAAAAATAAATAAATAAATAAATAAAAATTCCAAACTTATAAAATGCACTTATCCAGTGAAGTACTACATTTGCATTGTTTTTTTTTTGTTGTTGTTGTTGTTGTTGTTGTTTTGTTCAAGTCTAGCACTCTACTACTTGAGCCCCAGCTCTTGTTCTGAAGGCTTATTGTAAGAGTCTCAAGAAAGGCTGGGAATGTGGCTTGGTAGTAGAGTGCTTGCCTAACATGCATGAAGGCTTGGGTTTGATTCCTCCATACCACATAAACAGAAAAGATTAGACGTGGTACTGTGGTTCAAGTGGTAAAATGCTAGCCTTAAGCAAAAGAAGCTCAGGGACAGTACCCAGGCCCTGAGTTCATGCCTCAGGAGTAAAAAAATAAAATAAATAAAATAAATAAAAATGTCTCTGTGGCACTGAAGGCATTTGTATGGATTGGAACTGGTTAAACTCATTGCTCTAATGGGTAAGGAACTCATTAGTGGCCACCCTAAAGAGACATTTCCCTTACCCTGTCCTCTCACTCTACCGCCAATGCTTTCTTCCTAATTGGCACACACTCTAGGTGACATGTCCTGGTCCAGCCATTTCCAGTGAAATTGGTCATCTTAATGTTGCTATTGATAGTCCAGTGAGATTTAGATCTTTTGGTGAAGACCACATGCCTCACTCTGGAAATGTCTATGGGCTTTTATCTCACTTCCTGTGGAACTAGCAGATGAAAGGCAATTGGGCTTCTCATGAAAACCAACAGACCCCAGACATGTCCCAGTAGCAAGTGTGAATAATTTGTTCATGCCCAAGTGTATATGCCTCGAGCTCTGAGATTACAGGCATCCACCATTATGCCCAATCCTGGTCATTTCATCTTGAAAACTCACAAATTGGGGCTGGGAATGTGGCTTAGTGGTAGAGTGCTTGCCTACCATGCATGAAGCCCTGGGTTTAATTCCTCAGTACCACATAAACAGAAAAGGCCAGAAGTGGCACTCTGGCTCAAGTGGTAGAGTGCTAGCCTTGAGCAGAAGAAGCTCAGGAAACAATGAGATGTACAAGTCGTTATGTCGAAAAACGAACTTTACAACTTTGGTGGTGGGGGGGGAATCAGGTAGTGGGGGTGGGGGGGTATAGGAAGGGATGGAAAGGGGAAACAAAGGAGGAGACAACAATGCTTGATAAGAAATGTACTCATTATCTTGCCCATGTAATTGTAACCCCCTGTATGGTATTTTCACAATTAAAAAAAAAAAATATATATATATATATATATATATATATATATATATATTACAACAACAACAACAAAAAGCAGCAGCTCAGGAACAGTTCCCAGGCTCTGGGCTCAAGCCCCAAGACTGGCAAAAAAAAAAAAGAAGAAGAAAAGAAAACTCACACCTTTTTAGCTGGGTGTGGTCCCAGCTATACAGGACAGATGGCCTAGAAGAGGCAGAACTGGAGGCAACCCTTGACTAAGAAGCTTTTGTATTGACATCTGCACAATGAAAAGGGGACCTGTTTAGCAACTTTCTTCCCTCCCTGCCTCCTTTTTCACTCAGTATTTGGGTTTGAACTTTGTCTTTGGCTTGCTAGGCATGTGTTCTTTCTTGAGATACACCCCTCTCTTCACTGCCAACCCTGTTAGTCATTTCTAGTTGCTATGACAAAATACCTGACCTAAATAATTCGAGGGAAGAAAGGTTCATTTTGACCCACAGTTTGAGAAAATTCAGTCCATGGTTGGCTGGCTCTGTTGTTTCAGAGCTATGGTGAGACAGGTCATCATAGTGGAAGGAAATGGTAGAGAAGAGCTGCTGGCCTCTGGCAGCCAAAGGCACAGACAGAAGAACGAATGAATCTACTGAAGTTGGTGACCTCTCAGTCCAATAGTGCCTGTAGCTGGGAACTGTCTTCCATATGTGAGCCAGAACAAGGCCAATTACCACTAGACCTACAAGCTGGCACAGGAGGGAGAGTGACAAGGAGCACTGGAGGAGGATTTCCAAGCTGCCAGCTTAAACAGCTTTCCACACTGTTCTGCACCTTGCTGTTTTTAGCTAAGAAAATAACCATGAGCCAGTAGGGTGGTACACACTTGAAACTCCAGCAGTTGGCAGGCTGAGGCAGGAGATTTAAGAGTTAAAGCTATAGCCAAGCAGTGGTGGGCCATACCTATAATCTTAGCTACTGTGGAGGCTGAGATCTAAGGTTCACATGTTGAAGCCAGCTCAGGCAGAAAAGTCTGTAAAACTTATCTCCAATTAACTTTTTTTAAGCTGGAAGTAGAGCTGTGGCTCAAGTAGTAGGGCACTAGCCTTGAGCACAAAAGCTTATGGACAGCATCCAGGCCCTAAGTTCAAGCCCCAGAACTTGCACACACCCAAAAAAAGTTAAATCTCAGCACTGATGGCTCATGCCTTTAATCTTACTGAAGAGGCTGAGCTCCAAAGGATCTTGTTTCAAAGGCAGTCTAGATT